GCTGCGATGTAGCGTTCGCCCCTTATTCCCAATCGAACATGGTTGAACAAGCGGTCACGTGCTCGTGCATTCACCAGTCACCTGGTCACCGTGCCTGCAGGCTACAACTTACAGCATGTTCGAGCGAGTTTCTGTCACTCAAGTTGAACCTTTGAGTTGAACCTTGGTATGAAATTTGTCGCCTGCTGGCGCGGTGACCAGGGGACTGGTGCACGGAGGAGCATGGGACCGCTTGTTCAGCCATGTTCGATTGGGCATAAGAGCCGAACGCTGCATCGCAGCCTTTTCGAATCACAACCAGTTGACACAGCGTCCAAAAACCTACAACATATGGGCCAATCGCGGTCATCCGGGTTTTTATAAGAACGAAATGGCGCTTTTAGTGACATTTTGTATACAAATCCCCATCTAGTAGGCGCAGTCACCCAGTTTCGGTGGAAGTGCGCGAGTTCGATTGGGAATACAGGAGGAAGGGAGTGTCTCAGCTTCCTCGGACCAAGACTATTCGACTCAGTACCCCGAAGACTACAACTGGTGAAAATTTGATTTTAGGCTTAACTTCCCCTTTAACGGTCACGACCATTATGTCACTATGTGGCTATGTCATTGATGCATGCTTTCTCAGAAAGAATTTTCATCCCTTACCGTTTCACATAAGTAGCAGAATGTTTTCCCGCACTCTGGTCGCTTGCACGTTAACTTTGGACAGCTTGCACAGTTGTTAGCGATCACACCATAGCCACAATCGGGTGCGGGACACCAGCGAATGTCAGGCATACTCGCCAGTGAACGACGTAGCGTAAACTCAAGGTATCTGTCCACCAGCACTGGATTCTCACTTTGTGACAGGATTCTGGTGATGTCATGAGCTTCGTACTCGTTTTCACACTGCGGACATTTCAATCCTGTTCTAGACTCCATAATCTCCTGCTTGAAATACGTCTCAAGACACGAGCGACACGTACTGTGTGTGCATGCGAGTGTCATGGCCGGGAAGTCATCAGCCGCCAACACCGCACAGCAAACGGGACACGAGCGTTCGGTAGCCGGAGGAGTGGCTCCATTGTTGTCCACCTCATCATCACAATACGCCTTTTGATTGTCTCTGCTGTCCACTAGCGAATCCTGCTCCAGTGTCGTGCTGCTGTTGCTGCTGCTGCTTATAAGAGGGTCTTCATTGGTCGTCACTGTCTCATCGAGTGTGCTGGCAGCTTGTTGCTTGCGGCCCCGACGAAAAATGTCACGCAACCTTCGCCGACCACCCTGCGCGTTCGGCTTCGAAGCTGTGACCCCCTCGGCCCCTGCGCCACCACTCTGTGCACACCGAGGCATGGCTAGAAATTATCGGCCTATATTCTGGCTATGAAAACGTCAAGGACTTTCTCTCAGAATAACTTGATATTCTTCAGCAGTCTCAAGGCCACCACGGAGATGGAAAAATAATCCCGCTGCTGCTACCAAAACTAATGACTGGTCTCCGAGAGATGGTTATTACCTTTTATTATTTATTACCGACTGGTATAGACTATGGAGTAAACAAACCTCCCGCTGCGGCCGCTACGCCAGCCTTGAGCTGCAAGCTCAGTCAAGCTACTTGTACTTCCGAAGGACGAAAATGACTGGACGACAGTCGGCATCGGCCTGCCGAAGTGTTTCGGACAGCACCTACATCGACGTACGGTAGGTCTACAGTCTGAGTACAGACCGTACAGTCATGTACCTGCATGACGTCATGATTGTACTGCAGTGACCTATCCCCTTCCAGCGCATGGTGACATGTTGCTAAACCTCAATGAGTCATCGCCTGTCGGCTGTGCCAGACCTTCCCAGACGCTGATCAGTTCCCAGAATTGTTTCTTGGCAGACGCTGAGCTGATGGTCTGGTCTTGTATTGGTGTGTGCTAACTGCACCAGTTCTATTTGGGGAGTGGAGCCTGCTGTATGTTTTACATTGTTGATTCGTGGAGCCTGCTGTATGTTTTACATTGTTGATTCCCACCTCTCACTTCTCACGCTCTGTTCTGTGGCCAGTCAGTAGATCATGCAGAACTGTCATAAAGTCAATGGGCGTCGTGTTTGCTGGACATTAGTGCAGTGCAGATGCTGGTGGTGGTAAGTCTTACAGACACACTCACACACACACACACACGCACACACACACACACACACACACGCACACACACTCGCACACGCACACACACACACCTGGTCCTGGTCCTGGTAAACACTGCCATTACGGTCACGTGTCCCCTTACGGGGCCGACAATATAGAACGACGAGCGGGACCATGTTCGAGAGAGCCATCTCCAGCAGCTATGGATCTGGCTTACCATCGCCGGCATCGGAAACGATTCCTCTCACGGCTGCCGCTAGAAGTGGTCCATCACTCTCCACAACAGAGCGAACATTCCATGAGCCAACGCTCAGAGTCATTCCAAGTCGTCGTCTTCGTGCGGTAGTTTGCTCCACTCGCGGGCTTGCAAAGCCTCGCGAAGGACTCCGAGGTGGGGGCGACGAGGAGAGTGTCGGCATCGTAACTATCCGACCAAGTCTCCTGTCGGTGAATACCCCACCTCAGGCACTGTTGGCCTGGACGGCTGGGGACACCCCAGGCCGTCCACAACGGCGAGAACAAGCACGGACGGAGGCCAGAAACAAGAGCCCGAAAAAGTACAACCGTCCTCCACCAGAGCAGAGAACACACACACACACACACACACACACACACACACACACACACACACACACACACACACACACACACACACACACACACACACACACACACACACACACACACACACACACACACACACACACACACACACACACACACACACACACACACACACACACACACACACACACACACACACACACACACACACACACACACACACACACACACACACACACACACACACACACACACACACACACACACACACACACACACACACACACACACACACACACACACACACACACACACACACACACACACACACACACACACACACACACACACACACACACACACACACACACACACACACACACACACACACACACACACACACACACACACACACACACACACACACACACACACACACACACACACACACACACACACACACACACACACACACACACACACACACACACACACACACACACACACACACACACACACACACACACACACACACACACACACACACACACACACACACACACACACACACACACACACACACACACACACACACACACACACACACACACACACACACACACACACACACACACACACACACACACACACACACACACACACACACACACACACACACACACACACACACACACACACACACACACACACACACACACACACACACACACACACACACACACACACACACACACACACACACACACACACACACACACACACACACACACACACACACACACACACACACACACACACACACACACACACACACACACACACACACACACACACACACACACACACACACACACACACACACACACACACACACACACACACACACACACACACACACACACACACACACACACACACACACACACACACACACACACACACACACACACACACACACACACACACACACACACACACACACACACACACACACACACACACACACACACACACACACACACACACACACACACACACACACACACACACACACACACACACACACACACACACACACACACACACACACACACACACACACACACACACACACACACACACACACACACACACACACACACACACACACACACACACACACACACACACACACACACACACACACACACACACACACACACACACACACACACACACACACACACACACACACACACACACACACACACACACACACACACACACACACACACACACACACACACACACACACACACACACACACACACACACACACACACACACACACACACACACACACACACACACACACACACACACACACACACACACACACACACACACACACACACACACACACACACACACACACACACACACACACACACACACACACACACACACACACACACACACACACACACACACACACACACACACACACACACACACACACACACACACACACACACACACACACACACACACACACACACACACACACACACACACACACACACACACACACACACACACACACACACACACACACACACACACACACACACACACACACACACACACACACACACACACACACACACACACACACACACACACACACACACACACACACACACACACACACACACACACACACACACACACACACACACACACACACACACACACACACACACACACACACACACACACACACACACACACACACACACACACACACACACACACACACACACACACACACACACACACACACACACACACACACACACACACACACACACACACACACACACACACACACACACACACACACACACACACACACACACACACACACACACACACACACACACACACACACACACACACACACACACACACACACACACACACACACACACACACACACACACACACACACACACACACACACACACACACACACACACACACACACACACACACACACACACACACACACACACACACACACACACACACACACACACACACACACACACACACACACACACACACACACACACACACACACACACACACACACACACACACACACACACACACACACACACACACACACACACACACACACACACACACACACACACACACACACACACACACACACACACACACACACATACACACACGATAACGACTAGTCCGTCAATCCATTACGAGCAGGACTGACTTCGCAGTAGATCTACATGTACGAGGAAAGGAACTTTTTTTTAATTTTTTTTTTTACTATTGAACACTCACTGGGTGATGAACTAAAATGAGGAGAAGAACTCGACACAATGGTACATATCCAGCAGGACGGAGTGGGTGGGACCTGTGAAGCTCAGCCGACCAAGGGTCTCGGCATCACAGCTGCACATGTGCACCAAAGGAAACAAAATGGGGAGTGGAAGGGCGGGGAGGGGAGCAGGAGAGCAAGAACTCTAAGGGTAGGAAAGAGAGGAGGGGGGGGGGGGTAGGAAACCAGGAAACTTGTTATTCCAAGATATGAGTGCAAACAAGTACGCAAACAAGTACCAATATAGCAGTATAACTTACACTCATGCTGAAACCAGTGCTTGTGAAAATATATTCATTGTGTTTATTATTCCCGTAACGGAAGCTATGCCTGATAGCGAGTCAGGCCCTAGGGTGGTATCGCTTTGAAAGACAACTAACGTGCTGTGAAAGGCACCCGCCCCTTGAATCCACCTTCATCTGTAGACCTTTCTTTAGCGACCACCTGTAACGTTGTGTGGAGACCTTTCTTTAGGGACCACCTGTAACGTTGTTGGCATGGGCGGGTAATGCTAGCATTATGGCTGGCATTATACTAGTCCCTTTTTTCCAGGTGGGATTTTAACACCATTTCGCATGCTAAATTTTAAAGGCATAATTGCCGGTCGACAACGGTGTCATGCACGAAACTGGCTAGGTGCAGTTCCGAAAATCGTGCATCTGAACCCGTCTAGCTATTTCAATCTTGTTAGATCTGACCCCCCCCCCCCACACACACAAGCACGCTCCATCATGCGTACACGCACACACACACACACACACACGCACGCACGCACGCACACACACACACACATACACGCACACACAATAGTAATCAATTTTCAATGCTTTCTGTCAAACATGTTTTCGAAGCACAGATGCAAAGGCACACATATACAATGACTATTATAAAGAACGTCGAAAATACACAAAACGTACACAGTACGGCCCCGAACACGCTCTCTCTCTAACAATCACGAGCATGAAAGGATCGTGAAAAGGATATCACATTATAGGGTAATAATAATGCCGCTGTCACTAATATAATTATGGGAATGCGTGCAATCTTGATTCAAATTGCACGATCACGGCTGCAATGAAGGTATCGTAAGCGCAGGATTTAACTTCAGACGTGATGGACAATATACAGAGACGTATTGGATAGCAGACGCAGACGCATTGGACGGTAGACACAGACACATTGGACGGTAGACACAGACGTACTGCAACCAACACTGCATCTTGAAATGTCGGAATCGACTGCACCTTGAGCAGCAAGGCACTTATAATAGACGTCGTATTCTGAAAATGGCCAGGGAAGGACGCTGCTTCGCTGTCTCCGCTGCTGCTGGTGCTGCTGCTGCTACCTCCGCTCGTGCTGTTGCTAGGGGCGAGCTGTTGTTCTGTTCCTACTGCGGGCATTAGTTCGTTACTGCGGGCGAGCGAGCGCTTGGGGAATACAACATGAAATCAGCACTGGGATTGTGTGCCGGGATGGCAAGTGCAATGACAAGCCAAGGCACACCATACAACGGGCACATACAGTTAGTCGAAAACCTCACAGGCACAACAACAACAACAACAACAACAACAAAAAGCAGAATAGGAAGCCAGATATTCAGAGGCTGAACGTGGCCCCACAGGCGGAAATACGTCCAACGCCGCCTTGCGTTGTTGCCGCATAAATATACACTGATGTTGGTAAACTGATCAAGAGACACGCCTTACTTGCAGGCACACCATATGAGTACTTGCAAGCCAGGACGTCATTTTTGAAGAATAAAAAAAAACATTACAGTACATCAAGGATAACCGGCACACTAAAAGTTGCACAAACACAAAAAGCAAATAATGATAATTACAACGAACGCAAGCCAGTAACAAACGGGATATATCGCGCATAACGTGACCAGCGTGTACGAGAAGTACTACAGTATGTAGAATACGTACACACACACACACACACACACACACACACACACACACACACACACACACACACACACACAAACACACGCACACAACACAAACACACATGCACACAAACCCACACACAAACATACCCACCAACCACACAAACAAACACGCACCCCCCCCCCCCCCCCAACACACACACACACCCTCGTAGCGCGGCGCAGTGCAGGCCCTCGTCAACCGGCACGCTTAAACCGCCGAGTCCACCTCATCGATGTCGACTCCAAAGCGGTCCGGCGACAGATTGCGCTTGTAGCAGGGGAAGATCTGCTTAAACATCTCGTACGGTATGACAGCGTAGGCGAAGAAGATGGTAAGCGGAAGGAATATCAGAAGGCTCAGTGCGGTGATGACGGGTGCCAGGAGGACACCGCCCAGTAGGGAGCCGGACACTGCCAGAAACTTGTGCACAGACGACTTGTACGTCTGCTTGTTCGCCTAGCAACACACAGAGCCACACCAGTCACAGAAGGAGAAGAGAAATACAGTAAGGCCTCGCTTATCCGGTCCTCGATTATCCGGATCCCTCGCTACGCGGAAGAAAAGAAAATCGCAGACCAAAGTTTGTCATAGAGGCAAAACATGCTAGATTGAACCCCAATCGGCCAAAGTTTGACCACGGCCAAAAGTTTCATTTCGAGATTGGCCAAAGTCTGTTGATTTCCAGTATTGTGCAAAGCTACCAAGGTCTCTTTTCACTTTTTCACGGAATAGATTCGCATCTCTGTGATCACCAGCTGGCGAACTTCTGGTCGCCAGCCCGATTGCAAGTTTCCGACCTCAGACGAGTGAAGGATGAATTAAAAATATGAAATACAAATGCCAAATGCCGCTGTGTCTGATAATCGCTGAAATGCGTGAAACTAAAAGGTACAGCTACGCAGCCTTTCGCCTCCGTTGTGCGTGAATTGCACTTACATAGTCGACGAAGTAAGCCGGTAGGCCGATGAAGACGAGCGGCGGTATCACTATGACAACGCCGGCAAAGCCAAGCGGCGCTCCGAGGATGGCCAGCAGCTGGGTGACGATGGTGCGCTTTCTGCTCCACGTGCTCTTGCCCCAGAAAGTACAGCCGGACGGACTGGGAAACGTCAACACACACATGTAAATGTGCGTGCACACACACACACACACATACATACACACACACACACACACACACACACACACACACACACACATGCAAATGTGCGTGCACATACATACACACACATGCACGCGCACACACACACATGCACACACACATGCAACAACAGCTCCAGTCAATTCGTGTGAATGCCGAAAGAAGATTGTGCGAATAACATCATCTCACATTTTTAGCGTAACTTGTAGTTCCCTGGTCCTTTTTATTTTCTATAAATTTATCCTTGGCTCTCCATCCGAATTCATTCTTGCACTTTTTTTCTTTCTTTTTTCGACTTTGTTTTACTTCGCAAAATCCAAACGGGAATTTCTTCCCAATGACAAGGTAGCGAAGCTTGCTTGAATGAGTAGGTTTGTCTGGCCAAAATAATCATAATTATAATATGTATGGTACTGAGAGATAGAGAGGCAAGTCAATGCGTTTTACAAATCTGAGGCATAATGTCACCGCTCCCCACAAGGCATCCCAAATAGATTGCAACACATTCAATCACATAGCAGCTAAGCTCACTTAATGGCCGAGCTTTGCTTTCCTTTTCCTTTCTGCTCCTTTCTTTCCACTTTTTTCTTGCTTTTTCATATTTTTGCCATGGCTGGGTATCGCCGTCATCTCTGGGGTTGCTCTCCATATCAGCGTTGCATGCACATGCTACGAGATTGAGTTAAAAAAATAAAATGGATAGAAAGCGTCGTGGCAGAGTGACCTAACACTGCCCCGGCTACACAAGACGTGCCGGCTGCTCAGAGTTTCGCCATAATGCACTAAACCGTCCAAGTGCGGTGCTGATCACCGGAGCCTACTCCGTCCTGGCGTCCTCTCCCGGCAGAGATGAGGAGGACAGCATAATTATACTAGTACTTGTACCCTGGCGACAGGACCAAGACAGCTGACGTCAAAGCTGCCTGCTCAGAACAAATCGTCAGCAGCACGTGGCTTCCAGCAGCCGAGAAAAGCATTGGCGACGATGTCCGAGAATCCAACCACTGCACAAAAGGACTCATGCTGGAGTTGGTGAGGTTTCATTAGGCTCAAACATTTACTGACGATGTTCTAGATTTGATAACTTTTCATTTCTTTCCGCAAGATGGACCAAGTACGTCTGTGAAGACCTTGAATAGCCGCTTTTGTCGAGTCGCGGACACTAAAACAAAACAAGAAATCAACAAACTGGAAAAGGTTCGGCAGCGGCATTTCTGTCTGCTCGTTCCTCGCTACACGGTAACCCCACTCCACCATCACCGCCACTGCCACCAGTGGAAGTCGCACCTGTGCCACCTCCAGCTTCAGAGCATCTGCAAGCTCCAGCTCGGAGTCAGGTTATGTCCGCAGCGGTGACCCTGTGTTTCCTGGAAAACGTCGAACTTGCAGATGAAGTTGCTGGCCTGAACGCAAACGTGGATGAAACGGAAGCGTTGCTTAAAGATTACCGAAGTCAGCTTTGCAATGCTCGCAAGGAGATCGGTCGAAGAGAGAGGCAGTCACAAGGCTTGGAGGAAGAGCTTGAAAGTGTGACAGCAGAATCTAAGGAAAGTCGACAGGCTCTGCAAAACCGGCTTCGACATTGGAGACCAATTCAGCTCAAAACCAAAGCTGATGCTTCTGTGGCTGAACGACAAGATAAAGTTGATGATGCGCTGTCTTCTCGCTTTACAGCTTCACCCGAAGAAAATGTTGCCCTCCAGAAAAGGAAATTACCTCTCTGCAAGCAGACACCATCGATAGCAGCAGCACCATTCAGTTTTGAGACGATGGCTGACGGCAGCAAGTACTTGCCAGCAGTGCAACAGTGCTGCTATCTCCAGCTGCGCAGCTCGAGAGCAAAGTGTCGGCATTTTCAATATAAGAAAAGTGATCAACACCATTCTGACAATGGTTGGCATGTCTACGGAAAGACTGCCATCTCACGGCCTTCTTTCCCAGATGCTTGTGGAGTTGAAAAGCGCGACTAGTCCAAGCAAGCGGCAGCACTCAATAATTTGTCTCCTGTGGTCTCCACTACTAGTATATCGTTGGCCTGGCTGGCCAATCTGATGGTATCCTGAAAAATGGGAAGAAACTCATTTCGAATGTGCTAGGATTGGCGCCAGCAACCTTCCTGGAGCAGTTCATCAAGTCATAGCTGAATCAACCGCCTCGTTTATTCGGCCACCAACACTTTTGAGGATTTGATTTTGATTTTTTTGATTGATTTTTTTTTCACGGATCCTCCAGAGGCAAATAGATGCCTATCGAAGGGAGTCTCCTAAGTAAGTATGGAAAATGAGAAAGTATGTTCGTAGAGGAGAAGAGGTAGAAGATACATTAGAATGTAGAGTACAAAAAGGAGTAAATTCAGTACAGGAGGAGCATGACGACGAGCCAGCTGGTTGTATGGCAGATTTCAAATCTTTCCGACATCAAGCACTAGTAGCCACATGGCCTGTCATGTTAGTGCACGCACTGTAGGTCTAGTATTTGTTGCGCGCGACACACTCGGCCGAGTCTCCGCTTTGTGAGTACAGTGGCAGCAGAAACTATGTCGTTTTCTTCAATGGAGCTGGCATTGCCTATCTGCATGAGGCAACAGCGTCCTTCCTTGACTACGGGGTGTCCATGGTGTGACAAACCAGACATATCGCTGTGCCATGTTATTCATTTTGCTTCAAATTTTCTGTGGAGTCTTCCTGAACCTACCTGAATCGGATATCAGAAAGAAATACGAATATTTCTGGTTTTGAAAAAACGCCTTCAGCGCCTACTTCTATCTCTCTTGCTGGCCATGGCCATCGTGAGAATAAAGATAAAATTCTTTTTAAACGATGACAATTCTCTCCAAGATCCCAGGACTACACTGCCATACCCAATTCGGCCTAGATCACACCCCTTAAATTCATCCTATTGCAGACCAATTGTCATAATAAATGATTAGTTGAGGGATTGAAGAGGGAGAAAGTCTGAAGAGCGTATAACCTGTCACCACCAGGACTCGAACCAGGGATCTTCAATTGAGGCCAGCGATGCTCCAATCACTGAGCCATGGTGTAGCTGCCATCCCAGGAGATACCGTTCAGCAATTTCCAGTTTCCTAATGATCACAGCAACATGTTCAAGGGGCTCCCGTAAAAAGACCATGGGTCTGTGGGGAACACCCTAGTAAAATTAGATAAAATATTAATAATATAAAATAATGTTCTCGTGCCTAACATATTTCCCAACGATCACAACAACAGCGTATGAAGCCCTACCTCAGAAAGTGCAGGTCATCAATCTCCCGCAGACACAGCCAGCAGAAATCACAGCCACACACGGAGCAGGTAATGTGATTACAAGAGCCGTCGTTGGCTTTCATGATCTTGCTGCGACAACGAGGGCATGGTTTTAGCACCACTAGTTGCTCTGATGACGTAGGAGCACGGAGAAAGGGGCACACAGAGAGGCGGGGAGAGGCAGAGAGACATACAGCGACAGCCAGACACACAGAGGCAGAGAGACACACACACACAGACAAAGAAATTGAGAAAGGTGAGAAAGGTAACTATTGCGGTAGTTGCACAGAGGCAGCAGGCTTAGGCTCTGCGAAAGTGCTCAATACCTGACTCAGGCAGAGCGGCGTACACAAAGGCACACAATGAAAACCTTGGCAAATTCCGTTGAGACACAGAGTTTCATGGCTGAACCAATCATGGTTGTCTGGTGATTGGTTCAGCCATGAAACTGCGAGTCACAACGGAATTTGTCCAAGGTTTTCATCGTGTGCCTTTGTGTATTGCACTGCATGTAGTTGGACACTCTCGCGTGGGGTAGTGCCTTTGCTGTTTGCGTTACGCAGAGCTCACGGACTTGTCAGTTTGAGCACTTTGGTAGGGTACGTGAGATAACAGGGACAGGGACAGGGACAAACAAACATTCAGGAATGCACACTTGAATAGCCCAGAATTGACCTTATAATCTATATTTTCCAGGGATGCAAGCGGGAGTACCTTTGGACTCTATTGCAGCCATCCCATCTTCGACAAAGCGGCTCAAGACGGTGTGCCACTCCACTCAAACTGGCAATGTTCAGTTAATACCGTAGGTAAACACTCCCCCTACCCAAGCATTCCTGTTCTCACGCACCCAGTCACCCGCGCACGCACAAGCATATACCTCAGACCTCAGACATGCCCATCGCGGAAGCGATGATAGACTTGTGCTGGGATTACACCATTCAACAGCTTGCAAGGCTGATGAAGCATATACACACCCACAAACAAACACATGGGCACACATCAACACAAATATACACCCACCCACACAGAGTCAAAAGAACGCACCTTTATCGCCGTGCGCCTTCCTCCTGCCACGTCCTCCCCCTGCTCCGCCAGCCTGCGCCCCACCTGTGCTCTCGTCATCGGCGGCCGTCAGGTCGATGGTAAACATGCTGGTGGGGTTCTCGGTCATACGACGACGGTACGCATCACCGCATGTTTCGTGGGGATGCCACTCCTGGATATACACACATGCACATACACAGACACAGACACACGTGCACACACACACGCACGCACAGACACACAGCCATTTCGGATACTAGTAATTGATCTTTCGGATACTGCATAACATGTAGTTTTAGGTGTAGTGAAATTTCGGTATCAGGGACCTGCCAGGTTTCAGGTGTAATGTAGAATTAGGTGACCAGCATGCCTTTCACCTACAGTTCATACTCCAGTGCCGTTTAGGTGTAATCTAGATTTAGGTGCCTGGTTTCTCCACCAAAATTACTGAAATTTAAGTTACACCGAAAATAATGTGTTATACTGTAGTTGGCGTGCGGATAATCGGCATTCTACTGTACGCGTGTGGACCCTCTCTCTCTCTCTCTCTCTCTCTCTCTCTCTCTCTCTCTCTCTCTCTCCCTCTCTCTCTCTCTCTCTCTCTCTCTCTCTCTCTCTCTCTCTCTCTCTCTCTCTCTCTCTCTCTCTCTCTCTCTCTCTCTCTCCCTCTCCCTCTCCCTCTCTCTCTCTCTCTCTCTCTCTCTCTCTCTCTCTCTCTCTCCCGCTCACATGCATATACATATCCGCTCACTCACCGTTTGGCAATGGTAGCAAAACTCCGTTCCGCACTCCGGTCGCTTGCACGTCAACTTTGGACAGCTTGCACAGTTGCTAGCGATCACACCGTAGCCACAATCCGGAGCTGGACACCAGCGCATATCTGGTACGCTGACCAGAGAGCGACGCAGCGTAAACTCAAGGTATCTGTCCACAAGCTCAGGACTCTCGCTTTGCGACAGGATTCTGGTGATGTCGTGAGCTGCGTACTCGTTTTCACACTGCGGACACTTCAATCCTGTTCTGGACTCCATAATCTCCTGCTTGAAGTACATCTCAATACACGAGCGACACGTGCGATGTGTACACGCCAGTGTCATGGTCGGGAATTCCTCCGCCGCAAGCAGCTCGTAGCATACGGGGCAAGTGCGCTCGCTCGCGTTCAGCTCGTCGTCGCCGCTGCAAGGCGTCGCAGTGTTGAAATCGATATCCACCGACGACGTCGAAAACTGCCGTCTTCGCTGCTGCTGCTGCTGCTGTTGGGGAGTAGAGGTGGATAGCTGGACGTGATTGAGAGCCGGTGCCACGGCAACAGCAGCTCCCATGCTACCCGCCGCGTTTTGCCACCAGCGTCTGCTACGGCGACCCCCAGTGCCCCCCAGCGACCAGCGACCTTTGCTGCTGTTGCTGCTGTTGCTGCTCGTCGTGGCCACTCCATCCACCTGCTGCTGTCCACTGCTACTACTACTAGCACTACTACCAACTGATGCTGGCGCTGATGCTGATGCTGCCGTCGCCTTGGCCTTTGTCATACTGGCAGAGCCAATACTACTGCTGGCGTCTGGTTTCCGACGTCCAGAGCGAAAACGATTTGGAAATATCCTACGCCAGCCACGTGGCTTCAGCGCTGCTGCGCTGGTGCTGCTGTCTTCATTATTATCCGTTCCAAGTCCAGCGTTGAGACCCTCAGAAGATTTCGGAAATACCATTTCGGCGTCGCTATTGCGTTGCGGCGATGAAGGCCCGCTAGCGCTGCGCTCCAGTAGTACTGAGTGGCGAGTATTGGCGCTGCCGCTGCCTTCGCTATTGGTCGTCTCCGCCAAGCCAGCGCTGCCGACGCTGCACTGCTGCCGCTCGTAGAGCTCTCCCCGCATCGCACAGCCATGCGCTTCGTGTAGCTCCAGCGAGGAAGACATTGTGGAACTACAGCTGCCTGTCGCTCGCAAAATATTTAGCTAACTATTACTTGTTTGTTTCAGCACACTGCCAGCTGGATTCACCGAGGGCTTCTCGTCTTCGGGTGCGGCAAGCCTAATGTAATGATAGACCGTCAGTCGAAACCAGCACCGCCACACCGAGTCGCTCAGACCGTTCACAAACCACTCGATGTTGTAGGAGCCAGTTCGCCACGCAGCGTCCGCGCCTTGTCCTGATCACTACACTATGCAGCACTACTCTATAGTATAGATCTAGACTACAGTGTTTCACTATCTGGATTGATTTTTATCTCGTGCACAGAACACGCGCATACGCATGCACATCCGCTTCAACGTAATGACGTTGACGATTGTGTCGTCAATCGACTCGAATGAGTTCGATGAATGTGGCTCTTTTCCTGATCCGGTCGATCCTTCCTCGACCTCTCTTTCACTGAGTTTTGGCAGCTAGCTTTTCTTGCTGCTTACGCAACAACCAGTTTGCATTCATAATACAAATGGCCGTAATACTAATAGTCACTCGCAATGGATTGGTGCGTGCAAAGACTAAGTGGTACTACTATACACTACACTCAGCGTTCAGTTCAACGACTTCAAGCCGAACCCTTGGCTTGAGCACACGATCGTACTCACACATTATTGTGACATAACAGTGTCGTGGTGACACTCGCACAACATGCCGGATTCGTCCAGTAGAGTTTTGTAGTTGTTTGCTATGCGCGTGCAAACGGACCTAGTACCTCTTGCCTTGGCCGAGTGCACGCTTTCCCCAGTACAGGCTACAGCACTACTGTAGCCAAATGGGTAGAAAGTCTACCGGGTGCCAGCTAGTGCGACGAACAAACAGCAGGTTTCTACAACCAACTGGATTCCTCTGGATTCCTGCTTTTTTCTTTCTTGCGAAACTACTTTTTGCTGCACGCGCATAGATCATGTGCACAGCTGTCATAATAAAATACTCAGAAGTAATCGCACGCCATGTAATGTCATCAAGCCAAGACGCAAGAGTGCACAAGGAGTGAAAGGCTGAAACGAAAGCCCTGCCGGGCCCGGCGCCCCATGCCCCAGTCCCTGATGTCTTTGATTACTACATGTATCAGTATCACTACACAGACTCAGTACTCTATCACTCAGCGCACGGAGCGCTACACAAAAATGTAGCCTACGTAGTCTACGTACAGACTACACCTGGAGACCTACATAGTAGACTCTACATGATACAGTGTAGTGCCTGCTGTAGACAGTGTAGTGGTAGTACAGACGTGTACAGGCTATGTACTGTACCAAGAGTACATAAACCACTCTTGACTGTACTTAGTCCGTGAGCCAAATCTCAGAATCGGCCGTTTTAGCATCGACCGTTGCACCCAGAGAGGGATAAGGACAAATCGTCCTTCAGCACACCGCTTCACGATGGTATCCTGAAGCGATTTCCACTTGTTGGACAGTTCGAAACTGATCCAGGGAGGTCACAGAAGGCGCCCAAACATCCAACTAATACTTTGCTCACTGACAGCATAGCAGCGGCCACTGTAACTGTAGTAGATTCGTCTCTACAATCATGTACATGTACAGTACTTTGACATTAAAATAATTATTTTTCTGATAGTCTTGTTGTAGATCTAGCCACAAAGATGCAGAGCTAGCTAGCTAGCTCAGCTGCAGACGTAGGTCTAGGCGTAGCTAGCTACGATTGCTTCATTCAAACAGGGAATTTTTTAATTTTTAGAGAAAAATCTTGTGATGCTGGCTGTGGCCTGTGCGGATGGTACCGGTGCGAGGCTGTTCAAAACTCTGTTGCTTGCCTAACATACAGGTCCTACCAGGCACGGCTGTCAACCTGTGTAGTGTAGCCTGTAGGTGAAACAGTTGACTGAGCGAACGAATTCAGTAATTGACTTGCTGACTAACCGGAATACCGGTTTTCACAGTCAGGGACGCCTCTCGACCCGTGCCTTCTCGCCACCGGTGCACCGCTAGCGCTATTCAGAGAAGTCACTGATTTTGTTTGCTGTCGCATGTCCAGAGTGCAGACTGACTGAGTGCAGACGACATAATGATGAGGTAATGCATTACATCATTCAAGTTTCTACTATTAAATTTTCTGAGTGGTGATTAATTTACGATCACAATGTCGATGAATTCCGGATTCCTAGCACTTCACTACTACTCTGTACTCAAAAGGCAAAGCTGGGAGAAAGACTACATCATACACACGTGCATTATTTCACACACATGGGCCGGCGCTCTCGTATCTCACCGTTATCCGGGCCGCGGTCCATGCTGGGCAGTGCACTGCCCATAACTTTTAATCTTCATCACACACTGTATACTAGTGTGTATGTGTGTTAGGAATATCAAAATACCAGCCTACCCTTCACATACGCATGCATACATGGCACTGTGACGTCGAGACCCATGGTCGGCAGAGTCCATGTATTTCATCAGCACAGCTATTAACTGGCATTGTGGATAGCGCCTACCCAGTCCAATGTACTTTTTGTCTTTCAACATGATTTGTAGGTTTGTGTTCTCTCTTTTTTTTAAATACAGTATGTACTGTAGCGATTTTTAGGTGTAATCTAAATTTAGGTGCTTGGTTTCTCTACCCAAATTGCCGAAATTAAAATTACACCGAAAATAACGTGTTATACACACATACGTAACTTCAATCAGGAAGGGGCGTCAGAACTCAGAAGTCTGATGTATGGTGTCACTATTACAACACAAATTGGCGAAAAGAGTTGTAATATTTCCACTAAGACTCACCCAAAAAAGGTGGCCGATAGGCCGAGGTTCCCGCGCCTTCGAGGCCCGAATAAGAGAGATAATATTATGAGTGTGCATTTCTCAATACATATACAGCTAAGTGGAACCTGTCTAAGACGACCGCTCAAGGGACCTTGAAAACGTGGTCTCTGTTACCAGGTGGTCTCCTTATCCAGGGTCATTTGACTGGAAATAGCATCCCTTGGTCCTGGTTTCAGTGGTCTTCCAGTACAGGTGGTCGCCTTATCCGAGTGGTCGCCTTCAAGTGAGAGGTTCTCAGTACTGTACATGTATATACAGACTACACTGTAGTCACCCATCATAACCATACATCTGTAGTCACCCATCATAACCATACATCTGTAGTCACCCATCATAACCATACATCTGTAGTCACCCATCATAACCATACACTGTAGTCACCCATCATAACCATACATCTGTAGTCACCCATCATAACCATACACTGTAGTCATCCATCATAACCATACACTGTAGTCATCCATCATAACCATACACTGTAGTCACCCATCATAACCATACACTGTAGTCATCCATCATAACCATACACTGTAGTCATCCATCATAACCATACACTGTAGTCACCCATCATAACCATACACTGTAGTCACCCATCATAACCATACACTGTAGTCATCCATCATAACCATACACTGTAGTCATCCATCATAACCATACACTGTAGTCACCCATCATAACCATACACTGTAGTCACCCATCATAACCATACATCTGTAGTCACCCATCATAACCATACACTGTAGTCACCCATCATAACCATACACTGTAGTCACCCATCATAACCATACACTGTAGTCATCCATCATAACCATACACTGTAGTCATCCATCATAACCATACACTGTAGTCACCCATCATAACCATACACTGTAGTCACCACACTCTCCAAGCCGTCTCTGGCCTACACTAATCTTCGAGGACGAATAAAATCAACCGAATTTTTGGGGCAAGGCAAATCTTGAGCATACTTGATTTATGTAATATCGAGGGGTTTTGATGTAGGGACCGGCGGATTATGCTCGAAAAGGTGGCAGATTCTGCTGGAAAAGCAGTGAAATTGGCAGAACCATACAAACCTTATGGCGGGCAGTTCCTCGAATTCTGCTCCATTTCTTTATCAACATACCAAACATGCGTGAAACTTACCAGAAAAAGTACCGAATTCTGCCAATTTTTCTAAATTGCCTCACGAGCACTGGTCCTCCCACGATGAGTTCATTATATTCCAGTATTATTTTTTCACCAATCAGGTGTACATGTACTGTATGACTTTAGGTCTGGTATGCCCGCTGACCGGTTTGAGAGGCTAGTCACAGACACATGCCAATGGAGGGACTTATTATGAGAAATTTCAGAGTTTAATGAAGAGTATCAATGTTCTAGACATCACCACGCGACAGTTACATACAGATTACATTGTACATGCAACGTGTATCGGATTCAAGTGATCTTCAATTCCAAAATTTGATTTATGCGCTCCTGGTCCAACATTGCATTCTCGCACTCCAATCCCCAGGATGTTTTTGTGTAAATTTGACGTGTTGCTTTAGTGATGTGGATGCCGGATCGCAGTGCACACGGGAGGACACGGCATTGCTGGATGCTGAACGTATGAGCACAGGACTCAACGCCGGTGAGTACCGCATACGTGTACATTTATTGTATTGTGCCAGGAGGACCCCACCCCAAGGGGATACCCGCCCCAAGCAGACACCCCCTCTCCCTGCCCAAAGTGGACACCCCCTCCCTGCCCCAAGGGGACACCCTGCCGATGTGAACATTTTCATCAGCGTTTTATTTTCTGAGTTTTGGATTGGTGCCAAATATACTTGTAGCTGAAATTAAAAAGCTGCCAAAACTCTGCATGGTTACCGTAGCTGGTCCGCTGGGGGGCGGGGGGAACGCATGGTCGAAATCCTTGAAGCATTTTGTGCAGTAGATTTGTAATTGAAATTGCACTGTACAGGTACACAGCTATACAGCTGCATAGGTGCCAAACATTTTTACGTTTTCTATTCACTATCATGCATTTTGTCTACATTTTTGTTATTCTTTTCTTCAGTTTTTTTTTATTGTAAAATAAATCGTTTGATATATGCGCCAAGAAAATTGTACAGTTACACAGCTATATAGCTGCAGCAAGCTACATGTACATGTATATGTATGAGCAGGACCGCCGGAAGCCGCAGTTTTTTTATCCTTCCGGCCATACCATGATCTTCCGTACGTCGAGCATGAGTATAGTTTTTTTTTAAAATAATTTTAAAAAGCCTCTTTTACGTGCGAACAAAACACAATTTGCCTGATGGTGGCGGATTGGGAAACAAATCACATAATGATGACGTCACACATGATCAGAGAGCAAGAGAAGCATAGCATAGTCCGCATGAGTATAGTGGATACGTATACTGTAATTTCACCAAATTTTCGGCGTACTTTTATTTTCGGTACTTTCCGTGCGTCTGTTTCATACCTAAAATTTCAATACATCGAACAAACACTAACACACATAATCTAATAGGGAACTTCTTCTCTGTACCGAAAATTTCTGTTCACCTAACCTGGCCTTTTGCCCTCATACCGAAAATATTCAGCACCGAAAATTTCTGAAATTAGAGTAGCCTCCTTAGCAGTAAACAGACGTTGGTGGCCAACAAGTTGATCTGGTGATGATCTGAGAGCCCTTACTAGTACATTGTCTGTCTTTCTCCTTTGTTGTCTCGATCATTATTAATTCTTTTGTCTTCTTCTTCTCCTCTCTTTGTTATGGTCTATCAGTA